ACATTAAAGGGACTTATCTAAGAAAGAGAAGATAAAAAATATGAACAGTAAAATGACAACAGACTCACAACTATCAACAAATGAACCTAAAAGAAAAGAAAAGCAATGAAAACAAAAACAAAGCAAACCACCAGAATAGGAACAGAATCAGAGAAATGGACATCACAAAGAGGGATTTCAGTGGGGAGGGGGAAGGGAGGAATAGAGGGGTAAGGTACAGGGAAGAAGAAACATGGTTAGTAGGCATAAGGTAGATGGAGAGAGATAAAAAATGGCATGGGAAACAGAGGACTCAAAGAACTTATATGTACAACCCATGGATGTGGATTAAGGGGTTGGGAATGCTGGAGGGTTGGGGTGGGGCAGGGGGGAGGGGGGATAGAGGGGGGAAAATGGGAAAACTATAATAGCATAATAAAAACTATTTAAAAAATAATAACTACATTAAATGTAAATGGTCTAAATACACTAATTATAAGACAGGCATTGGCAGAGTGGACTTAAAAGTACGATTCATCTATTTGCTAACTATAACAATTCACTCAAAAATAAAACAATATAGATAGGTTGAAAGTATTATAAAAGGACTAAAAAATATACACTATGCAAACTTGAATCCTAGTAAAACAGGATTTCCTTTATTAATAAAGATAAAGTAGAATTCAGAATAAAGAAAATTACCAGAGACAGAGAAGAACACTGTGTAATGATAAAAGAGTCAATCCATTAAGAACACGTTAACAATTCTAAATGTATACGCACCAAACGATGGAGCTGCAAAACATGTGCAGCAGAAATTCATAGAACTGAAAGAGACAAACTGCAATTATATTTGGAGATTTCAACAAATCCTCTCAACAAGTGACAGAATGACTAGGCAAAAGTCAGCAAGGATACAGTAGAATGAAAACAAGACCATGAACTGACAGGATATAATCAACATTTATCAAATACTTTACCTAATAACAGAATACACATTCTTTTCAAGTGCCCACAAAGCATATACCAAGAGAGGCCATATCCTGAGTCATAAAACAAACTTCAATTAACTTAAAAGAAGTGAAATCATATAAAATGTGTTCTCCAACCACCATGGAATCAAACTAGACGTCAATAACTAAAAAATAAGGAAAAGATTGCCAAATAACCAGAATCTAAATAATATACTTCCAGGTAGTCCATGCATCAAGAGGAAGTCTCAAGGGGAATAAAAATAAATAAATTATAGCAGAAGGGAATATAAAATACACACATCAAAATAAAGCAGTGTTGAAAGGGAAATTTATAGCACCAAACATAAATAATAAAAAATAGGAAAAGTCTCAAATCAATCATCAAAACTTTCGTCTCAAGTACCTAGGAAAAGAAAAGCAAAATAAACCCAAAGGAAACAGAAAGAAATAAGTATGAGAACCACCAATGGAACTGAAGATGGAAAAGGAGAGAAAAATCAATGAACAGATGGTTGTTGAAAACACTGATAAAACTGGCAAACTTCTGACAAAGAAAAAAGAGAAAAGATACAAATTAACAACATCAGGAATAAAACAGGGGCTATACGACAAACTGCACAGATCAAGGGATAATAGGAGAATTATTATTATAGAGTTACAACTAACACAACATGCATAAATTTGACAATTTAAAGAAATGGGCCAATTCCCAAAAATACAAACTATCACAACTCACCTAATATGAAATAATCTGAATAGCCGTATAATTATTAAGGAAACTAAATTTAATAACTGCCAAAAAAGAAATCCTGTAGCCCAGATGATTTCACTAGAGAATTTCACCAAATGCTGAAAGAATGAATACCTATTGTACGAAATCTCTTCCAGATAAGAGATAAAGAACAAACACTTCCCAATCCATGTAATGAAGTCAGAATTACCCTGATAACCAGAAAAAGTTAAAATATGTATACATATAAATATATATATATATGAGAGAGAGAAACATTATCCTTCCTGACTATAAATGCAAAAATCCTTACCATATAGAATTCAACAATATATAAAAATAATTATAAAACACAGAACATGACCAATTATTGCTGGGATGCAAGGCTGGTTCAATATTTGAAACTTAATCAATACAATCTACCATGATTAAGGCTAGAAAAGAAAAAAAATCACATGATCCTACCAATCAATGCAGAAAAATGAGGAAGTCAAAAAGATGAGTCGATAAGTCTAACAGAAAAGAGAGACAAAGGGAATGCCCAGGAAATTCCTATATACTAGAGAGCAACCAATCCAGATTCGATCGAATCAGAAGACAGAACTCTTGAAAAAGAAAAAAATGAATAGAATAACAAATGTGTTTAAGAGTATTAAAATAATTACATAAAGTTGGGAAGGTTTTGGATTAAATTGCTGAAAAGTATGCAGAAAACTAAGATCGAAAAATCCCCAAAACACCAGATAATTATTAATTCCAAGGAAAAGAGAGTTATATAAGAAAATAATAGTAATTATAGTCCACTAGGAGACTCAGCAAAATAAAAATAATATTAATATAACTAATATATTGCCAAAACTTTGTTATTTTGGAAGAAAAGATGAGAATAATGCAAGTATTTGGGGAAAAGGACATGCAAAGGATGAAAGCTAAATTTTTACTCTCCATAGTATGTAATGCCTAAAATGGAAAACAAAAAAGTCAAGATTTAGCAATATCAGCATGTTAGTTAGAAATGTATCAAATGACTCAACTAAAAGTGGTTGCCTGGGAACCTTGAAATGGCATAGGAAAAGTCCTAGGGGAACTGTTTGAGATATCTTTTGTAACAAGTTTAGTTCACCCATTTGAGTATTTAAGTTGTTAAAAAATATAAAGATACATGGCTGGACCAGGACTTGAACCCACGTAATTTTTTTAAATCCTCACCTGAGGATGTTTATTGATATGGGGGGTGGGGGGGTTATGGGTGGAGACATCAATGTAAGAGAGAAACATTCATCGGTTGTCCGCCTTCCTTCCTTGCCCTGACCAGGGATTGAACCCACAACCTTTTGGTGAAGGGGATGATGCTCCAACCAACTGAACCACCCAGTCAGGGCAAAACCACATAATTTAATTACTAATCAGGTCCATTAATCTGTGAGTTTCTACGGAGCCTGTGTTTTCTTATTACTTCTACTCCAATGCCTGCCTTGCACAAAGTAAGCCCTCAAACATGTTTATGAACAAGTGGGAGAAAGTTCAAGGATGGAATTACTTTCCTAACAACAGAAAATGAATGAGAAGGGCATTCCAGGCAGAGGAAATAGCAGAAGCAAAGACAGGAAATAGAGTGTGAGAGCTGAGCAAGAAAGGGGCAAAGTGGGAAAAGAAGGAGTAGTAAGAAGCCTCCAGAAAACCCACTGGGTAGGTAGAGGGAAATACAGTGAGCATAGTCTCTTGGAACTGTGTGGCAGCAGGGTGGGAGAGCACTGGTGCCTTGTGGACAGATCCATGTGACCCTGAGTGTATGTGGATCAACCTTAGGTTTGTTTTGTTTGTTTTGCAATGATGACAGTAACATATTTTCTACCATCAGTTCCTTCCCAAATAGTTTCAGCTTTCTGGAATCCAAAGTAGTATCAGACTCTCTAAAATTTTGAGTTCTTTTAGTAGTTCAACTACAGTACAACTAGTCACTCTAAACAACCACAGAAGGGGCAAACCCACAAAGGATAGGCAGGAATAAGCAAAGCCTGGTGGAATACCTGCAATGCCATGCTCATCCATATTTTGGACCTCTTCACCAAAGCATTAAAATCCAGAGCACAAATCAATCACCATCTCTTGATCAACATATGCACCTGCTATTACCATTACTTATACATCCATTTCATCCAAAGTTTATTAAGTATCTACTCTACCTCAAGCAGTGCACTGGAATATAAAGTTTCTGATTTTAAATAACTTACTTTCTAATAGCAGAATTATTTATAAGATAACAAGATAAACAATGTAACTAGCATTAACAAAAGTACTGTGGAAACACAATGGGTTAACAGACTATTTAAATTTTTTTATGTATAATATTAAACAGAGGTGAAAGTGAGAGGCAACTCCAATGAACATACATATACCCACACTTTGCCTCAATCATAATCAGTTCACTGCCAATCTTGTTTCTCTTTTAAATTGCCTCATTAACTTTAAGACATCAAATTATCTTATCCATAAATATTTCATCATAATACCTCTAGCAGATAGGAACTTGTTCTCTAAACATTATAAATATATATCTTGAAAGTTGAGTAAGTTTTTAAGATGTAAGATATAACTAACATAAATAAAATGCACAGATCTTAAGGTGCTCGACTGAGGTCTGACAATTGTGTAGGCCTGTATTAACCACTATCCAAAACAAAACGTAAAATATTTCTATGGCCCAGAAAGTTCCCACATACCCTTTTCTAATCAATGTCCTACAGCCAGATAACCACCTGATTTCTATTACCAAAGATCACTTTTGCATATTCTTAATAAATGACATCATAGAGTAAGAGGTTTCTAGGTCAAAAAAGGAAAAAGCATTCCAGGTGGAAAGAACTACATATGCCATGTAAAACTGTGTGGAAAGATATGTTCACAGAAGCTGAAGAGCTCAAGAGGGTTGAAAACTGGGATTGGTAACTGACAGAGACAAGACTAGAAACTAGAGGCTTGTTGGAAAGCGAGGGTTCCCAGATTGAACTCCACAATTAATTCTGGGAACCATGTTGTGAAATAAACTTTCCCAATGCCCAAAATGATTTCTCTGACCTAAAAATATATCCGTTCTCTCAATAAGCTCCTTTCTTTTCAATCCTCCAGCTGAGGGTAACCAAGGCAAGAGCAACATCCTACACCCCAATGCTGTTCACTCGCATCCTGGGCAAAGGTCTCTCTGCCACCTCAGGAAAGGGAATGAGCCCCTCTTGTCTTTCTCATGAGAGGGCACGGTCTCTACTCCCCACCCCTTTCTTTAAATAAACAGCCTCAAGTCTGAGGGGCAGCCTTACCATTATCTGGATTTCTCTCTTGCACACCTGGAGATCATGCTCATTGTTGACAAACATGCGTTTCAAGGCACATTTCATTCCATTGCTTGTCCTCACCAGAAACACGATAGCAAATCCACCTGTGAGAGAAACAAACATACAAGCCCTTCTGAGTCATGTTCAAAAAGTCAGGCAGATGACTATGTTGGCTGCTGTCACTGTTGATGGCGTTGATGCCACTGTCAGCTAGCCTGACTTAGAATGCATTCTTAGATTCTCAGGACTCATAGGTATTACTTATGCAATCAGGTGGCAGGAATTGGAGAAATTATTCCTAAACACAATCTCAGGAAAAAGGAACAACAGTCATTATCTTCCAAAGAACCTACAAATAAGCAGATGAACAAACAGATGAAAGGAAAAAACTACATTCTGACTATTGTCGTAGGCAGTTTGAGATTCTACTTATTTCTAACTACAGTCCTATGAGCCTCGGTGTGACTTTTCCCTTTAAGGCAACAATTACTAGCTAAGGCATTCTTTAATACTTTGAATTTGTTAGTGTTCTACAAATCCTTAGAACTCCTACCTTGACCTCACTCCCCACACACTGTGTTAGGTGTTCGGTGAGACTGTCAATGGGGGTTATAGTTAGATAAGGTGCTGCAAAGCTGTCAAAGTTGGAGGCTTTGGGATAAGCGGCACTTATACTGGACACCTAGTCCACTGCTTGCTTGTGTAGTTTCATAATTTAGCTTGAATTATCCTGTGCATCAAGCCTGCGTAATGCAAAAAAAAAAAAAGGCACTGGGTTATGTTTTGCACAAAGGTGACTACTAATTGGATGAAGGTGAATGCAGAGAGAAGTCATTGGTATAGGAACTTGAGCTGAGGTTATGGCATTGGATTGGGGCTAGCAGCCACATGCAAAATTAATATAAGGCAATAAGCAGTGGTTATAGAGGTCTAAGGGCGTAGATAGGACTGGGATCCTCACAGCCAGTCTAGTTCCTGAGGCCCAGCAGCACTTCAGCACCTGTCTGCTGACGTTCACAGCATTTCCTGTTGCATCTTTACAATACTTATTTCTTTTTAAGTCAGCCCAAGTAAGTTTCTGTTCTTTAAAACCAAAGAGAGCTTTAATCACAAAGCACTGTTGCATGTTTTCATAAAATACATACATAATTCTGTGTTAAAATATTTTATGGGTTCAAATGGTCCAATGTGTACTTTGAAAATGATTTACTGGAGACCACATGTTTGTTTATTTCCTGTCTTCAGCATTCAGGTAAACATTGAAATTGACCATGTAATCTTTATTTTTTCATTTTATTTCTAAATATTTTTTTATTTTTCAATTACAGTTGATATATAATACTATATTAGTTTCAGGTGTAAACCCCATGATTAGACATTTATATAACTGATAAAGTGATCACCTGAATAAATCTTTAATTTCAGCTGTCATTTCTTTAATCTTTCTATCTCAATAACACTTCTCATTTTCTTGTAATACTTCAAAGCAGCAGTCCTTGACCTTTTTGGCACCAGGGAGCTGTTTGCTCCCTCACTGGCTGCTCACCTCCTGCTGTGCAGCCCAGTGCCTAACAGGCCATGGACCTCAGCCAGGGGTTGGGAATCCCTGCTTTAGAGTACACTTACACTGCTCAGTTGTCCACTGTAATTCTAGAATTTTGATTATTTACGAAAAAAAAAATTTTAAGCCCTCACATGCACTTACAAAGAGAGGTCTTACCACACACACACCAAACAAACAACAACAACAACAACAACAACAACAACACCACCTCTCAATTCTAGGATACACAGGTTTTTACATTCTAATTTTTAGAATATCTGACATATTCTTGTAATAAATATGTACATTTAATGAAGAGCTATTTGTCTTTCTTTTTCTCCAAAAGGCTATTAAATTCATGATGTGTCTTATAATCAAGTAAAACTGAGAAAAATTATAGAATAAATTATAAAATTTCAATATACATTTATACTTGTTTTGTGGCCAGAGTGGTTTTTATTTCATAGATATTTTCAATTTTGAAAAAAAAAAAAAATCACGGAACTACAGACTTTGTACTTCTAGAGAACATTAAGTCCGAGCGCTTTGCTTTATGGGCAGAAGAACCTAGTGAGGCTTAGGAGTCCCACAGCTAACTATGGGCAGAACCCAGAAGAGTGTCATTCTCTAATTATCCAAAAACATGTTCTTCCCACTTCATTTATGTTAAAGAAAACTGTGAAGTACTGCTGACAGTGCTGGAGACCAAAAATTGGGAGAGCAAAAGTTGGGAGTGGCTATTTCCTACAGTTCTGCAATGCATGATGGCACCACTAAAGGACAAAGGTGTCCTTTCAGATGGTGATGTAGCAATTTGAGATAACTGCCACCAGATGGGAGCAGTGTACTTTACCAGGTAGCAGCAAAATGACCTTTCCAGCCAGGACTGAAGAAATGAGTCAGACGCCTACCCCTCGATCTACACATGCACAACTGGCTGAGAAGAGCCAGCCCAGATCCTCAAAGCTCATGACCAACATAAAACTAAAGGCAGAGCAATGAACCAGTACACCTAATATTGACAGAACCATGTTATTAAGTAGCTATGCCCATACAGGAGCTCATTTGCAGGTGAGCAGCATTTAAATCAGAGTTCCTTGATCATTAGATTAAAATCAAAGCCTGGTAGGACTGTCAGTATTAAAATGTTGACCATTATTACTATGTAGTTGACCAAATGGGGAGGTAAATTACTAGAAGGTAGAGCGGAGATAGCACTTCTCAAGGAACTTCTTCAGTACAGGTCCACCACATGGATCAGGGTAATAAGGTTCTCAGCCACAGCTAACCAGGGTTCGGGCCATTACAAAGGCAGCTATAAGACTGCCAGTAAAGATGCTCATCTCAGATTGAGTTGCATCCCAAGAGCTTGACTAAATAAAAAAATTAAAGCTGAGGTGGGGATGGTTTGAACAGAGGTAAGAAAAGTTAATGTTCAGTAGAGCCTGTGCCAGTCTCTGTTTACTGGCATTTTTGAAACAAGAATAATCTCCATGATTTTACTTAAGTGCATTTTTTGGATAACCCATGAATTTACTGAATCACAATGGGAAAAAGGACCTGACTCATTACGTGAAGTAAGCAAGTAAAACAGGTGAGATAACTGTGGCACATACACACTTCTGTCTATCAGATATGTAGGAATATTTTTTTTTTACTTCCACAGAGAAATGTGTTTTCTCTCACTTTCCCTAAATCATATAGCAGCACTCTTGGTCTAACTTTCTCCTAATTTTCAATGATGTGAATGTGTACTTTCTACTCACTATGACAGAAATCCTGCCTGCTTGGCTTCCTTCTGCAGAGTCATGTTCTAGGTTAGTGACTAACATATCAAGGACACTCAAAAATGAATTAACTTTCCTTTTAATGTTACAACAGAGAATAGAAAAGGCCACAAAGAGTATTGGACACTGTGGAAAACTAGAGTGTATGGCCCATGTAAAAGAACAGCTACTATACAATTCCAAGTACTTGTTATCATGTAGGAATACAGATCCAGTTTTATCAGATCTAATCACTTCTAAAGATAAACTGGATACCCAAAACTTTATGTGAAATCTTCAGATTTAAACACTGGCAACAAGTCACAGTTTAAATCAATGCTGGACAGGATAACATTGTAGGGGGTCAAGAAAACACATCTGGGAGGCTTTAGAGAGTCTCTGAGCCTACAGTTTTCTACCTCTACTCTAGTTAACCCCATATAATTTTACTGATGGCCAGAAAGGGAAAGTGACATAGCCAACATTACACAAAGTTAAAAGATGACTTGTAAATAAAATCCAGAATATATACAGGGTCTAGCAGAAGTAACACCTGTTTGAGTATGGCTGGTAGGGTAATAATATGGGTATAATAATTTATAGTTTCAGCTTGAACATTCCACCTAAAATGTCATATGGTATGCCCGAGTGTGATATTGTTATATTGCAGAATTACATGCTTATAATTTTGTAATAAAAGATTTTGTAATTAAAAAAGGGGTGTTATTAGTGCTGGACCCTATATATTAGTTATACAGTGGTTATCACAGTTATCATATATTGGTTATCATAGTTCTTGCCATTCTTCCCCAAAGAGGAGTTTATGGAATATTCCCCCCAGCCCTCAACCAGCATTTGTATATGACTTTCTACTTCCTCAAAGGCATTTCAACATAAATGATTTCATTTATATTTCCACAATAACTAAATGGGGTAGGTGAGCTACCCATTATCCCCATTTTCCCAATAGGAAAGAGTTGTAGAGAGATTAAGCTCCTTTCATAAGAACACACAGAGTTTAGTTAGCGGTAGAGTTCAGACTAGATCCTTCATCTTTTAAAATCAACTTCACATATAATACAATGCACCCTTTTAAGTGTGCAGTTTGATGCATTTCCACAACTGTATACACCCTTGCAACCATCACCATAATCAATCCATCACTGCAATCAGTTCCTTAGTCCTCTTTGTAGGCATCTACCCCTCCTTCTCATACCATCTCATATAATTTCTGGCCTGTTTTCTGTCCTATAGATTCATTTTGCTTGCTCTAGAATAAATGGAATCATACAATATGTACTCCTGTGTCTGGCTTCTTTCATTCAGCATAGCATTTCTAAAATTCATTGTCACATGTGTCAGTATTTTAGTTTTTTAAACTGCAGGTTAGAGTTCCATTACATAGATCTTTCACAATTAATTTAGCCATTCACCTGAAGGACATCTAAATTATTTCTAGCTTTTGGTTATATTATAAATGAAATGTCCATATCAAAGTCCTTTTTGTGGACATAGGTATTTATTTCTCTTAAGTAAATACTTAGGAATGGAATGGCTGGGTCATATGGTAAGTGTGTGTTCAACTTTATAAGAAACTGCTTACCAGTTTGCCACAGTGGTTGTGCCATTTCATACACCCAACTGCCACATGTGAGACTTTGGTTTGTTCCATACACTTGGTATTATCACTCTTTTTACTTTAGCCACTCTAATGAGTGTGTAGTGATATTTCTTTGTGGCTTTAATTTGCATTTCCTTATAGAGCCTTCATCATTTTAAGTCCTAGGATTAGCTG